TTATACTGCAGCTTGTTGGGACAGCTCTCCTCCATTTGTGTTGCATGCCCCCCACATGCCCCGTCATCTGTCGCATCTTTTTGAGGAAATAATAGAGAGCTTCTCCATCGGCATCTGCTACTTGGAGTTGATTGTTGATCTGTTGGATTCCATAACTTTTACGATTTGGCAGGCATCTGATCTGGGGACGGAGTTAGTTGTCTTTGGCAATTGGTCAGCAGTATGCATTTGGCAAATAGACGGCAGTAAATTGTCATAACAAAGAGTCTGTCTGGTAAAAAAAAGAGAGACACATACATATGCAGCTGGCGACTGCAAATATTTGTGCTGTACAGCAGCATGTGGTCCCGGAATACATGTGCCCGGCAGGCAGATCACAGGCCACTCTATTAACCCTTTCGAAGACGAATTGCAGCTAGAAAATTGCATTTTTATGGCTGTCATAAACGGCGGCTACTTTCACTTTTCCATCACGACAAACAAAGACAGAGGACGGTGTCGTCGCGGTTCCTGGAACATTAGAAACGCTTCATTTTTTTGCCAAAAACTCTAGGTTTTCTTCTGTTTTTTGTTTGAAATTGTATTTGGAGCGTCACGGACTCACAGGCAAGCGCATTCAGCCTCTAAACATCCTTTTGCGACTGCTGTGCGCCGCCAGAGTCTGACACAAAGTTCTACTTCCGCAGCGGGGGGGTCGAGGGATGAGTTGAAAACCGATATGATATGCTCCCTGATATGTCAGAGAAATTCTAACCATTCCTCGAATGAGATGCGATTCAAATTTTTAAATTTTAAATGGGTCTTACTTGCTTACTTATCGGATTATTTACAACATTTTAACACACCAAATCATTAGGTAAAGTGAAAAGACTAAAGTAACACCTGTATTTTGTTATTTTCTCCATCTAAAAAATTGTTTATCTGGGGAATCAAATTCCATATTGCGTGAATAAAATTTTACAGTTATTAATAGGTAAATAAATAACATCGATTTTTGCGAGATTCGGCATGTAGGATTAAAATATAATATATATATATATATATATATATATATGGTTTGGTTTTCAAAAATATGTCAAACAATTGTTATTAGTGGATTTATTGTGTCCCCTTTCTGTCTCTATTGCTCTTCCATCTATCCTGATTTCTGCACGAACATATGTCGGTTTGAGGGTTTCTACATACTCTGAGCTTAAAATGTGATACAACAGGTTTTCCAATCTAAGCCGACACAATATGCTATGATGTGCTTTGAGGATTCTTTGTAATTATCACAAAATCGGCAGAGTTCGCTAATTACTATAATTCGTTTCTTTAGGTGATTTTTTAGTCAGAAATACTCTGTCAAAAGACCCCTGTTTTCCTGGTTATTACTTGCTTAAATCGTTTTCGACCAAATTAACATTAAATTAAAAAAATCTGACTTGTTCATAGTAACGAATATTTTAATTATTGATTAGTTTAAGGAAAGTATACAGTCGACATTCTTTTCATATGCACATATTAGCTGATAAATATTATGATTTTAATCAACATTTTAAGACATTAAAATTGAATAAAAATTGCAATACTTTTAAGGAATGTGAGTTAATAATAATAAATTACGCATATTTGTTCATGCTTATCCATATTTGATTTTATCAAAATTTCTTTCACAAGAAGCGTTTTTTTCTTCATTTTTCTCAATCTGTTTTCATTGACATTGCGACCCAAATACAACTCTCAATACTTACTGGATATTTTTTCATAAATATGTTCGTCTATGTCTCGCCGCTATGACCTCCATTTGGATAGCAACGTTCATTAATTTGTCAGAGCATTAGTAAATTCAACAAATCAACGCTGAGGCAAAGTGAGTAGAGAAAAACTTTTTCTATGCTTGCTAATCTTCTGAAAATGGAAAATATTAATGAGAAAAAGTTTGGCGGCGCTTAAAGAGCTTTTATGGCATTTCTATACAGCCATAGATACACAGACAAGCCAAGACAAACGGAATAAGTCGGTCTCCGGCCCGATACGAAAATGGTTGTCTTCCTCTAAGGCTGCCTCATTATGAAAATGGAACAAATTTGGGAGCCAGACACAGACGAGAAACTACTAAGTGCTCTGGCTGGAGCAAGGGCTGGGGTCGGGTCCACACAGGAGCAGACCAAACTCGGCACAATCATCTTCGACTAGTCATGTAGTAGTTATTCGGGTATAACGGAAAAAGCTTTTGGCCCGGCACGGTCTGAAAAATGCTTAGCTAGAATTTATGCACACGACCATATTCCACTGGGGAATATGAGGCCGTCAGTGAGTTGAGACTCGCATCTATATAGATATGTATGGACAACCAGCAAACAACAAGAATAGCGAGGAGAACAACAACACAACTAATAAGAGATAACATCACACCGACCATTAAATACTCTTGCAGGCCACTAACCATCTACTCACATGCAAATTTTAGACTTAATAAACGAATAAGTATAAAAACTAAAATAAATTATTTTTGTTGTTGAATATATATTTTAATATGCATAATAATTGGTTTAAGAATTTGAATTTTTCTATCTCGACTGATATTAGTTTACTTTAAATAAATAAACGCACAACTTTGTCAACATTTTAATGCAAAATATTTAATGTTACTTGCACCTGGCTTAGTTTCGGATATCCGGGATAAATACAATTTTAATTTTTGTACTTGTACTTTTAATTGATCACCTTCAATCCAAAGACAAAGTATCATAAATATAGATTAATATATCTCGATTATTGGTGCTGATCAAGAATATATATACAGTTTATGGTATCGGAGATGTTGGTAAACTCGCATTTAATCAAGTGACAGTCGCTGCTCCAGCTTTAAGATACCCTGCACCCAAATTATTATTATAACTATTATTACTATGACTGTACACTGCGAACTCCTGCAAATTAGTTATCATGCTTGATCAAGCCCAAAATTGGACTCTAACTAATTCATTATGGAAATCGTAGGAAAATTTCGAAAAGTGATTCGTCATTGAGCCGTGTATGATATTCGAGATCATGCAACCTCTTACAACTTGCACAATGTATTTATCGATATTTTGTTAAAATACGCAAACTATCAAGAAAATATAATTAATATGATCTGAGTAAGGTTTATATAAAACTATATTCAATTTCAGTCCCTTAGCGCTAATAGTGTCTGAGATCAGCGAGTTCATAAAACAAACCATCTGTGCTGGTCTGATCAGAGATATTTGAATACCTTTTGCCAGTAACATAAATTTGCACATCTTCATGATACCCTTTTCAGCCAGTTTTAATGGGTACATGGTATAAAAATGATGACGTCGTTGAATAACAATGGAGGGGGGATGTACATACATATCTAGATGGATGAATGCTTTTGAAGCCTCGAGCATCTCAATGGGTTGTTCGCGTTTGCTGTGCACCAGGGTCGGATGGTTAGGTGGATAAACAAAAAACAAAACCAAAAAAAACAAAATAGACAAACAAACGAGCACTCAACGGGACGGAGATGGGGATGGGTACGTGGTCGGCGATGGCTACTGGGCGGACAATGACTTGGAACGGGTGATGGAGGCATCTCCCAGCCAAAGGGCCACCACACGACCCATAAAAGAACGCACGAGCATGTATGGCAGGGTGTGGGTGTGGGGTGTGTGGTGTGGGTGGGCGACGACAAGTGTGTGGCCATCGCAACACATCCCGGCGACATAATCGAGTAAGCGGCAAGTAATGAAGCGCACGGAAGGGCATGAGTGTGGCACACACAACTGGACCCAATGGGATATGAATGCATCAGCGACGCACTCTGCCACATTTTGCCCACATCGATATAAATATTCTTTTTTCTTGTGTATGGCTCTGGAGTGCCACTCTGCCACACTGGCTGGGCTGGCAAACCAACTATAAATTGATGGCATGATATTTTTGGTTTTCGCAAACAAGAAAGCTCACTTCTCCGAAAGAGGCGCGCAATGGTTGTGGAATATTTAAATAAAATGATAAGCGTGAAATTATAATGAGGAGCGTGTTCCGGCATAAATCGGATTGGGTCTTTGCTCTATGTTCCGAATACATTTCAATTTAATGGCGATTTCGCCGGAGACCATGCGTGGTAATTCAATGAAAGGGGTTTCTTTTTTTTTTTTTTTTGGGAGTAGTGGGCGATTTTGTGTCGATTGAATACAACAATTTGTTCCCTCACATATCCGTCTGTAAAAATGTCTCGCATTCAAGGGTTAGATTACCATGTGCGAAAACAGTGTTTCGAGGGATTCACTTTCATAAATTCCAGTAAAGTGTCCTGTGTTCATTTCCTCAGTTCATCACTTTCATCCTTATTGCTTATGGGCAATATTTATACATGCTACTGAAACAAAAGCTGTAGATTTTAAATGTTTAACACGCATTCAACAACAAGAATAATAATATAACATAACATTTTAATTATACTATATATTTAAATATTATTGCGAAGAGCTTGGCATTTTATTTATTATTTATTATATTTTATTTATTTAATAGTAATTGATTAGTTATTTCAACATTTCTTATATGAATAAGAAGATAATATACATATGCTTATTGACATATTTCGAATTTCTTTTAAGTAACTTTTAATTATACCAAATTTATTAAATATTATTATATTATTATTAATATTGGATTGCAAGCGTTACACTTAAGACAGGCTGTCAAAAAAAACGTTAAATTTATTTGTATATGGTTTAATTATTATTTAATCGATCAGTGAAAAATAGAAACACTTAACTCGTTAATATTATTTTACAAAGTTTTTTTAAAAACTGCCATTTTAATTTTTTTATATACTACTATCATTGGAAATCTTTAGATTTTTTTATTTTATTTTTATTAAATAGTATATCAATAAGTTTATTATAATCCAATGGTAATTTTTGTTAATATACTTCAAATATAAAGACCACCAGTTCAAATAAACTTTTTAATTAATTGTCTTGGTCTTCATTCGATTTCAGGTGGATTATTTTTTACAGGGACCCCCCGAAGAGACGAGACGTTACACGACATATGTTGCAGGTGAGTCTATGGCACATGCCGCTATATAAATGTGAATGTAAAAAGATGTATATATGTATATGTATGCCTGTATGTATGTATGAATCAGCAAAATAAAACAATAAATGGCAACGGGCGAACTATCAATTTGAGCTGTGGCGCAGGTGCATCTAGCAGATACAAACCAGATCCGGTCTGGGCCTCAGCTTTTCGAAAGGCACACAATTTTCTTATGATGCCTTTCGTTTTTTATTTTCCAACATGATTTTTTGCTAAATTGCAATCGAGGCAATAGCAATGCGTGTGGCATATGAAATAGTTGGCCCGTGTTTTTGTACCTTTTGCCATTTATTTCTCACATTCGCCCGCCCAAATGCGGACCCGATATGAAAAAAAGGCAAAAGTTGATCAAATAAATGGCGAAATTTCCATATTCTGGCGATAAGCACTGGAACGTGTACTCGTATGCTGCTTAGCCCAAAGATTTCCATCAATCGGGGATAGCCGAGCAACCCAGCCTGGCCAAGTAACAAGTTGTGCGAATCTCCAGCTTAGGGTGGGTTGCTGTCACGAATGTTGCATGGCTGGCGCAGCTTGTTGCCCTGTCACTGCCTCTTCCCGGTATGAGGATAACGATGGCGGCAGGTACAACCCCCATCGCTTAGCTAAGTAAATGGGTTGGCTGACGAACGTGACTCGCAGCGCCCTTGGTTCAATAACGCCATCTTATGCCTCTATCCATCGAGCTCAAGGTAGGAGTTGAGGCAATATGTTTGTAGCACAATGGAATCTGTCAACTGCTAAGCAGACAAAATGCGAATTTCTTTGTTTTCAAAATAAAATTGTATTTTTGCTCACCAAATATAACATATGTGATTATAACATATATTTATATTTAATTGGTGTAGTTATTTTAAGTATCCACGGAAGTTTTTAAACGTTCTGAAATGTATATATAGAAAACAAAAAATAAATAAGTAGATAATGTTTTCTATATCAAATATAATATTTGAAAATTTATGAAGTAGTATAAGCTTGGTTATCAGTCAATTCTTCAACAAATTTATAAATATATAATATATATAAAGACTAATTGATCAAAGAATTTTTACTCTGTTCATCACAGTAACTAGTCTTGTCTGGAATTGATTTCATTTCACATGAAGATTTCAAGTCGAATTTAGCTTGACAAAATGAACTTAATTTCCCATTTGTTCCATTGTGAGTCGACATTTCAATTGGACTTGCAGGCAAAGCCCGTCACGATTTCGAGCAGGGCAACTAATGAAGAATATGTGTAATTACATGTGGTTACATGTGGTTACGTAATATAAACGTTTTGCTCTGCCCCGCTCATTGCTATTGGCATCGCCAATGCCATTGTCACTCTTCTCCGGCTCCGGCTGCAGATCTGGCTTTCGTTTGCTGAATCAATGCCCGGAGACAAACCCCAGAAATTTAATAAGCACGCAAGTACACGGAAGTAAATTATCCCGTCAGTCTATTATGTATGCTGCTCCCCGCCGCCTCTCCAGTTGCGACTGCGGCCGTGGCTTGGCTGCCTGCCACTGCCACTGCCACTGCCCGCCCTCCGTTGCAAGTGTGTCTCAATGTGGATGGATGGCTGACGTCTTTAGAAGCTACATAAATACCTCGTTTATTTGCTTGCCTGAGCTTGCGTGTTTGCGTTTGCTTGTTTCGTGTTTCTTGTGTTTTCACGCAGCGTTTTCCACACCCGTTTCAATTGGTTGCTTTATTTGAGGTCGCAATTTACCAGTGTTTTTGCTTTTAATTAAACATTTTCCCCACTTTCGCCGTTCGCCTGCGTCGCAGATAAAACTAACATTAAATATGCCTCAGGTTGTATAGGCGGCTAACTTCTTTGTGCATATTGTTATTGGTAGCTGCCTGCCTGCTGTAAATATCTATTAATTTAACCAAACTGAAGTGCGAGCTTAAATCGGTTTAATTTTAAACTCAATTTGATTGCACTTCAAAGTTATTTTACACTCCAATTTGAAACACTTAATGCGCCAGCCACATTTTCCTTATCTAAAGCAAAAACATGCCATTTATTCGATTTTACCTGAATCGCTAAATCGGAACGATTTATTTAAACAAATTCAAGAATTAAAATGCCGTACATTCGAGTATTTTTCTCCTTGTTGTTGCAAATCAACTTTTTTATATTTGTATTTAATAATGAAAGTGCCACAATTGATTCTACTCAAGCGAGTTAACTAATATATTGCAAATAAACTGTTTAACTTAATTTGTATAATCTACATAAATTAGTTCATTAATAATTTAATTTAATTTATTCATATATCAATTGGTATTTGTATTAAAGTGATGAAGCTTTCTCGTTCTCCTTTTACTACATTTATTAGTTTATTATAGTAATAAGCGTACATTTGTAACAGACAATTGCAAGCATTTGCAACCCTCTAAAATATTATAAATATTTTATCCAGGGCAATAATCACTTCGATAGAGCCATATCATAATTTCTTGCACACCTTTTGCATGAATCCGATTTTTGGTATCCAATAATCAAGTAAATTTGTAAAAAGAAGTGACTAGCACAGTTTAAGTTGTTTCTCATTTGAGTTCGTGGTCTAGTTTAAGGCATAAATATTTAATTTCATTCTGCTTAAGGCTTACAAATTGTTTGCAAATTGAGGTCAAAGGCATTCAATTTCGATCAAATATATTTTTGTTTACAATTGCGCAATAGATTTTGTTTATACGACTCGAAGCGACCACAACACCCGTAATTCTGCGGAAGTTTTGTTAAACAATGATAAACTGATGTAATTATGTGCATATGTACATTAATGCATACAAGCATACATATAAATGTATCACGGACAGCAAAGAACTTGAACCTGTAGGGAGGGCTAACATGTATGTATATATATATATATAGCTTCTGACTTTACACGTTCAAATTTGAACAACAACAAGCTTAAAGCAAGAATGAAATTTGAATTTTTTAAATTAAAAAGCTTTCTTATATCAAGTTTTACAGGCGTCTATAGTGCCTCGGCAATTTTCTCCGTACTATTAGCTAATTAGCATAGTGAGTACGTTTAATTAAATACATTATTTTACCTACCTGACTCAATCATTATATTTTTTAAACAATATAATCAATTATATTACTACGACTAAAGTTATATTAATATATATTTATGACTATATATAATTATAGCTATTCATTATACGCTCTGCAAGAGTATGTAATCGTCGACATTGCTAAGATATATATTTTTCTGGTTTTTCGTTTTACTCGTCGAGTTCATTTGAAATTTTAATCAGCACCTCGAGCTGCCAATTGCAAAGCTGAATAGAATTAATTTTACTAATTTCGCAGCACGATTTGCATGAGCCAAGTGCACCCCCTCGGGAGGACAATTGGAACGGCCTAATTACATTAGAGATGCGCAATTAGAGGCCCAGCGAATTTCATCAATGAGACCCAAGCAGACGCAACGGGGGCGAAGGGTTGCTTATTTGCTTACTTGCGCGGAGGGAGGCCCATTGAGCTTAAGTTCATTAAGGCACAGAAGGTGTTACCGATTGCCCTCTTACCTGTTTATTTGCATGCCAAGAGTCCAAGCTGTGGATTTCAAGCAGAGCTGTCGTAAAGATGAAATATTATTTAACTGGCAGAAGCAAACAAACATTTGCAGACTGACTGCTTAAATTTCAGCAAAAAATTGATTTATTTGTTACCACATTTTGAAGGCCGCCCTGCACACTCAGAAAAAAATCGCACTGAATTTTACAAATTCGCCATACTTTTGGCGTAACTCACATTATTATTCAGCAAATATATTTCCATAATTTATTTATAAAATAATATACTGTATGTTATATATAAACAGTTGAGCTACTCTGCCTCGATGGCAACAGCTAAACTCGAATTTAAATTATATTAAATTCCTCTTAAATTTCAATGACTTGTTGCTAAATCTTAGAAAGGATTTTTTTGAAAAAATACTTTTTAGAAATGCATTTCTTGACAAAAGAATATATTTCTAGAAAGCAAAAATGTTTGAGATTGTTGATTTTCAGCAAGTCTTACTATTTTGTAGAACTTTTGTCTTTTATATTTTAAAATAATTTCCAAAAACAGTTTTCAGATGATTTTCTTTTCTTTGAGTGCAGCGAATATTTTTATCAAAAGTTTGGTTTACGCTTATGCCTTGCCAGTCAGATACTCAAAATGAATTTGTACATCAACAACCACTGTACTTTGTTAAGGCATCTCCTCCATATGCATGTATATTTGCTGGGCTGCTGGCCGCGCGCAGACTGTGCATCCCACTCACTCGCACTCGCACCCGCACTGTTGGCGAGAGGGAGAGCACAGCACTTGCGCGGAAAGCGGCGGCCATTGAAAAAGGCTACCAAGAGGCCATTACCCCGCCCTGCCCGGGATGCACAAGGCAGCCCAGCCCAGTCCCGGTCAGGCAGGCCAGTCCAAACTCAAATTATCGCATCGTAGCAGTGCAGAGCAAAAATATTTGGACAGACAGGCAGACAGACTGACAGACGGGCGGACAAACAGACAGACAGACATTTGGTCGGCGGCAAGGCTCAAAAGTCATGTTCATATTTCTTGTTATTGTACAATTTCTTTGGCCGTTGCTGTGATATTTAATTTATATTCTAGGCCAACAATATTGCGGACGCATAAAAGTAAAACGAAATTTTTGTTTGTTTGTAACGGTGCCTGTCTGTGTGTGTGTGTGTGTGTGTGAGTTAACAAGGGAAACACGCCACAACAACAGGGTCGGAACATTTATTTACGTTTGAAATGCACACATTTAAAATACAAAAAACTATTTTTGTATTTTATTTTTAGGTGGGCAAAAACTTAAATTGAATCTATTTTTTTTTATTTCATACACAAGTGCTTGCCAACAAAAAGAAAAACTAAAACGAATAAAAATAAAAAGAAAAAAAAACAATCACCCCGCACAATACATGGATTATTCTTTGCACTTTAGCAA